GTCTGCTGCTAGCAGCTTAGTGAGAGACACTAGGAAAGAAGAAATTGGTCAAGATGCTGCAGCTTTATCTCCACTTCTTGATAAAGATGTCATTTGTGAGGATGATAAAGGGAAAATTGTGGAAGAAGTAATGAAAACTTTTGTAAAACAACAGGAAAAATTGAACTCAATTTTGCAGAAGAAGCAACAACTTAAGATGGAAGCGGAAATGTTGAGTAGTTCAAAAACTATGAAGGAGCTCACTGAAGAACAACAGAATTTGCAGAAGGAGCTGGAATCTTTGCAGAATGAACATGCTCAAAGAATGGAACAATTTTATATTGAGCAGAGAGACTTAGAGAAAAAAATTAGAGCAGGGGATGAAGCAAAAGTGTACCTGTGACTCAAATGTCGAAAATGACAGAGAGGCTGAATATGCGGCACAGCTGGCAGAGCTGCGGCAGAGACTGGACCACAAGGAGGCTGACCGGCAGGAGCTGCAGGATGAGCTCAGGCAGGAGCGGGAGGCGAGGCAGAAGCTCTGAGATGATGATCAAAGAGCTCAAGCTACAGATTTTAAAATCCTCCAAGACGGCTAAAGAGTAGAACCCTTCTACCCATCTGCACCTGACAGGGTTTTTGTCGATTCGTTTGCTAGTAGACTTGGGAACAGCTGATGCGTATGAAGATAGCAAGGCATTCTCTCCATTTGTAGATCAGAGCTAATGAAAGATTATATATTAGATAATGAATTTTTACATTTTGCAAATGTACTCCCCCCCCCCGACTGACTTAATAACAATACTGTATGGTTTCAACTAGTAGATAAGCTGCCTATATTTGTAATGCAAACTTAACAGTTGTATACTTTTTTAAAGCTACACTGTGTGATGGGAAATAGCTGTACTCATTTTGTTATATGTATTTCAAGCTCAGTTTTAAATGCAATGGTCAGTTCGTATTTCAAATATATAGTGCCCCTCAAGGAGTTGAATTTCCATTTTTTTTCCATGAACACAGTCTCCTGTCTTGCTATATTCATTATTATATGCACAATGTTGCTTTTATTTTGTACCGATTATGGGATGAATTTCCACCACTTCCCTTCTTTTTAGTGTCCTAAGGCATTTTGTGCAAAGAGGAATTCCATTTGTAGGCTACAGCTCAGCCTGTGGGTGCAGTGCAGAAGGACAGGGCTCTGTTAGGGACCGCTGCTAAGAAGACTCTTGTCAATTGGTTTTCAGTTCCAATGTGGTTATATTTAGAGTTCTTTTGGGTTTTTTTTTTTTAAAAGATAGCAACTTCATAAGAGGGAATAAGAAAATAATACTTCCAGAACTTTTGTTAATAGTGGTGTGAATTCATTGCTACAGAATGTATAATTCCCCTGTACAGTTTTCTATAAAGCTCTGGCTGTTATTGAAATTTATAGAATAGATTTGTTTTCCTGTAAATTGTAAAATATTAAACATTTTGAAGGTTAAAAAAAAAATAAGGATGACAGAAGAACTGATGCCCTTGAATTGTGGTGTGGACTAAGGATAGTGGATGTCTCATGTACTGCCAAAGAACAAATAAATCTTTCTTGGAGGAAGTAAAACCATCTTGGAGGCAAGGATGGTGAAACTTCATCTCTCCTAATTTAGGCATATTTTCAGGAAGAACTAAATCCTTGGAGATAGACATCATGCTGAGAAAGGTCAGAGAGAGAAAGGAAGAACCTTGATAAAATGCACTGACATAGTTACTACCACAGCTGGCTTGAGCAAGACAGAGATCATGAGGATGGAAAAGACAGAGCAAGATTCAGACTATTATTTATAGGGTCACTATGACCTATAACTGAGTTGATAGCGCCTAACAACATCTCGGTGATTTGCCTTTCTTGTATCTACATTCTTGAAAATTTAATTATATGGTCATTTCTACTATCAGTTTTAAATTTATAGGCTGCTTCTTTTGTTTGCTTGTTTTAGAATAATTTTAATAGCATCCTTCACTGATAAAGAATCAACAGTAATAGCTAGTAGGCTTTGATGTAAACAACTTGTGATGTCTGTTTCCCTGTAAAGTCCAATTCTTCCTCCACATGGGTTTTTTTTTTTCCCTTTTCAGTTTGTCTTCTCTTTTGGAGGATTTACACAAATAGTTGGTGATCTTTAATTATTTATTCCTATTAAGAGTGAGACACTAACAGTCTGATTGAAGCCATGAACCTAGGAGTAGGAACTGTCAATTGTGGTTTGACTGTGGTGTAAGGTTTGGCTGAGCCATTTGGATAGAACACCCTCAGTTTTCACATCTTGACGTCTCTGTTTTGTGCCTTAAGTTCTATTAAAGAAGCACTGTGAAGGGAGCTCTGGTGGCTTAGTGGCAAGAAGCTGTGCTGCAATCCCAAAGGTGTGTTATGTGTTGGGCTACTACCTGAAAGAGTGGTAGGTCTCCACGGGAGAAAGATGAGGCAGTCACATCCAGCTAAAGACTTACGGCCTCAGAAACCTGACGGAGGACTGCCACAAGTCAGAACAAATCTGAGGGCATGAAATTTGTGTTTCTGATTTAGGCTCTACTCAAAGTTAATACCTGTATTATTCTTCCATCTGCCTATTTCTAAAACACTGTTCTTAGCTATCCACCCCCGTTTCTTTCAGTCTCTGCATCAACAGGTGTGTGCTGGGCTGTGTGAGTGTGTTTAATTCATTTACTTACTACTCTGTTTCTCAGACTTTGGAAGGCAACACGTGTTTCATTTACTACCTTTATTGGAAGTCCAGATGTCTTTTCTATGGGCAAAATTGGCATTTCAACAAAGTTTCAGAATAATTTAAATTCAAAGTCAGAATTTACTTCTCTGTTTAGGCTTAAAGATATTTAATACAAATTCCACAACCAATCTGGTTTGGCACAACTGTCAAAGGGGTAACCAGGGGGAAAGAATAAGCAGAGGAAGACAGAAACAAAGTACTATCATACAGTAAGATTTTAAAATAATAAAATAACACAGAGATATATAAATTGTATCTTCTAGTTACCTGTCATGTTCAAACACTTTCTGTAAGCCCCCAAAGCACTTGTTGCTGGATATCTGTTTCAATGCCATTCTTTTCCTATTGGTGAAGATTAATCTTATTAATTAGTTATAAACACGTATGAAACATAATGCTTTACAGAGAAATATCTGAATATTCAATTGTTTTCCACTCAGATTTTTATTATATGCTATATTTCTATATATACACTATCACATATATTTAAAAATAGACTAGCTACATACATTTAATTAGTTATAAACAAATTTGAAACACAATGCTTTTCAGAGAAATACCTGATAATTTTTCTTCACTTAGAGTTTTATTATATGCTTGATTTCTATATAAATGCGATAAACCACATTAAGAAATGGACTAGGCAAAGTTTAACAGGGCAGCAAGTAATAAATGTTGGAGAGGATGTGGTGAGGTACAACTCTTATACATTGATGGTGGGATTGTAAAATGGTACAATCACTCTGGAAGGCAGTTTGGCGCTTCCTCAAAAAGCTGAACAGAGAAATTCCATATGACCCAGCTACTCCCCAAAAGCAAAGGAAGAAATCAAGAAGTTCTATTTTTTACAAAACACATTCTATGGCCAATATAACATGTTTTAAACCAAGCTAGTTGAGTTTTCATTTAACTCTCAGAACAATGCAAAAACTAGAAAAGTTTACCTGTTCAACTGCTACTTGCTGCTTCTGTCTGATCCAAAGGGTAGATTGTCCTGAACCAAAGAGTAGAAAAACAAACACGGTTTACAAGTGAGATATATACTTTTTCCCCTTAACAAGGACATACAGAGGATGGTACAGGACCTGGGACCATTTCATTTTGTTTGTCCATGGGGCTGTTGTAAGTTGGACTCAACAGCAAACTACTAATGAAACGGGACATTCTCTGCAGTTTTTTCTTTTGAGGAAAGTTGGTGTCTGCTTACACAGGATGAGGTTGCATGGATCACGCTAATGGCCACTATCTCACCCCTGCACTTAATCTAACTGCCAACTTTGCCACAAAGCCTGGTGCTTGATGCACAACTTTTGCTGGGGTAAGACTTTTAAATTTGCCTTGTTTCTTTTTATACAAATAAAGTTTCAAAGTGCAATTTGGAAGTATGCCATGTGGTCACTGAGAGTGAAGAAAACAGAACCCTTCTGGCTAGGAGCTATAAGTAAAATTTAAACAGGGGAGGAAAAAGGCAATGAGGAGGAATGAAAGACTACTGCATTAGTGGCTAGAAAAGTGCTACAGAAAGACAAACCAGTAAGAGTTCTTTCTACAGAAAGACTGACCTTGGAGTGCTACTGAAGTAAGAGATAAAATGTCTTATCTAGTACTGCTACAAGATAGATAGCACAAGTGGATGCCTTTAACAAATTTATACTCTCACAGAGGCTGTTGTGGCTGTTGTGTACTGTTGAGTCAGAACTGACCCACAGCTCACCCTTTAGTGGGTTTTCAGAGGCAGTTAACCACACAGGCTCACAGGTGAAGAATGCCCATCTTCCTCCCGTGGAGCAGCTGGCGGCTTTGAACCTCGTGCCTTTGGTATTGCCACACAGCTTCTTGCCATTAGACCACCAAAGCTCCCTCTCAGAGGCTAGTCGTCCAATTTCTAGGTTCAAGCTCTAAGGAAAGATTTTCTCTGTCAGTTCCTTTTTTTTAAATAAAAAAAATTATTATTTTTTGTATGTACTGTCAAATCGGATCTGACTGGTACAGGAGGAGACTGCTCCTCCTTCTCCAGCAGAGCATCTGGTGGATTCAAACCGCGTACCTCATGATGCTAAACACTGTGACACTGATGTGCCAAATGCGATAACGGTTACCCATGGTGGACAGTGTTTGGTGGAGCTTCCCGATTAAAACAAGCCTGGAAGCAGGAGTGGCATCCACTTCCAAAATGGCTTGCCTTCAGAAACTCTATGAATGGTGCTCAGGTCTTTTGTTCAAAGGGTCGCTATGAGTCGTCTAACTCAATGGCACTTAACAACCACCACCACCACCTGTGGGATTGCAGTGCAGCTTCTTGCCACTAGGCCACCAGAGCTCCCTGTCTGTCAGTTCTGAAGCTGCTGCCTCCTTTCTGCATCTGTAGGCCTGGTATTCCTTGGAAATCTGCACGTGTCTTGTCATATCAATCTTTTCTGGAATGTAGGAGATTCACAGGATGAGCTCTACTCCTGGCTTTTCTTTCTTGGTGGTGCTCTGTGCTAGGTTCTTTCTCCTTCTCTCTCTTGTAAACTGATGCAGCAACAGACAATTTCACTACTCTGTGACTTTCAGCAAGCAACTAAATCTCTATACCTCATGTTCCCTTTGTGAAATAAGGCCATTAACAATACAAATTTCAAAGGTGGTTTGGAGAGTAAATGAGTTAATTCATGAAGTGCCCGAGACACTGTTAGTTTCGATATACACGCAAATATCTCACTGCCATCAAGCTCAAATTACAGTGAATTACAATCTGTAAGGATTCCAACGCTATAAATCTTTTCAGGAGACCGTCCATATTTCTCCCACTGAGCAGCTGGTGGATTGAACTACTGGAGACACCTGGTTTTCTATTAGTAGTGCACCACCACCAGACTATGCCACCCAAGCTACTACACAAATGGTAGCTATCTTGTGGTTTAGTGGTAAGGAACTGCACTGCCTAACATAAAGGTACATAGTTCTAATCCACCAGCTGCTCTGCGGGAGAGACATGGGCAACCTCCTCTCATGTGATTTACTGCTTCTGAAGATCTGCTGAGGGGTCAGGGGTGGGTCTCTTCTGATATGAAGGTAAACAACAACCACCTAGAAGAGTCTCCTTTAATATCCAACACCCTAAGAAAGAACCTGGGAATTTCTACAAAATTCTGAAAAGTATTCACAACACAAGCCGATGTTACTAAACACCAAAGCAGCAGTGAAAAAAATCAAATTATGACTGACTTCTGGGTAAGATGGAGACTATACATACAGCAGTTCAGATCTATTTTCAAACAAAGAAAATGGATAAGGGATGATAATTCTGGGACCCTGAGTTTAAAGAAAAAATAAGCACTTAAAACACTAACTGGAGGAAGAAGAGAAATGAAAATGTTGAATAAAGAAATAGATGGAGCACAGAACCATAAACAGCATAGGATGGCCATTATGAGCATCTTAATACTCCTGGTGGGAACCTGGGATGGCAATGGCATCACAAAAGGAGCTAGCCAATGACAAGAAAGGTACCATTGCTTTCTACTTGTCCCTGTGCCCTCCTGCAGATCTGAGAAATGACTTTCCCCTACCACACACCAGGTGGATGGATGGCAGTGCTCCCAGGGCTGTGTCATTTTATATCGACACCAGGAGCACGTGCGGTTCTACACTTGAGGTTTGTTTTCCTCCAATTAGAGAGCAATCACATTTGACATTGATACAAAAATTCTCCAAAATAGCCTAGCTATTAGAACTCAACATCACATTAAAAAAAAAAAAATAAAACATTCAGCATGATCAAGTAGGATTTAAACTAGGTAGCAGGGACAACACAGTAACTAATGGTTAACTCCACAATGAGGGATTTATCTTTCACTGCTCCATAAATTGCTTGTCTGTCAGATACTCCTCTAAATCTGAACATTCAGATTAAGACAGACTAGGAAGAAGGATTGGCCA